AAGACGTGGAGAGACAAGACTGCTGAAGTCATTGTTGCGGTTTTGAACCAGGACTGGCCAGAGGCTACGAGGCTGGCCGAGTGGACTCTTGGCTGCAACTCAGAAAGAAAACTTCCCTCTAATACTTCCACACCCAAGCCTTTGTAGTCCTTCGAGCCAAGCCACTTTGGCTTCTTGCTCGAAACACCAAGCCTGTTGTGGCTTATCCCATGCAGAGCACTTTGAAGCCAATGTGGCTTATCCAATGCAAGCCACTGTGGCTTTAAATCAGCAACCCTGGTTGCCTGCCTCTTGCTTTGCCTCTAATCCTTAGAAGGTTGCTTCTTCCAAAGCTGTTTCAATCTTATTGAAGTAAAATAACTCTGGCTTCTGTGGATAAGAAGCACTCCTGCAATCCAAGGTTTCTGTCCTAATATAGTACTTTTGCAGAGGAGCAACGTAGAGAAAGCTGCCGTAGAATAGCTGCTCCTTGCAAACCACATGCATTCTTCCAAACAACGACAGTACACAGTGCAGCCCGAAAACCTCGCAGAGTCTAGGTGAGTCCCAAGTCCGAAACCCTAAAGCCCGAAGGCTTCAAAAAAACCCTGGACCCCTAAACCCTGAACCCTAAAAAAAACCCTAAACCCTAAACCCTTAACCCTAAACCCCTGAACCCAAACCAGATGCCCAGGTATGCCGGCGAGAAGAACATGAAGGAGCTCATCGAGCTGAGCCGGGGCATCAAACGTGCCCACGGCAGGGACTCCAGGCTGGACTACGGCGAACACCTCCGCCGACAGTGAGAAAATGAAGGAGGGTTTCGCAGGCTGCTGTGCAACCCAAGAACCCAAAAGTCCTAAAGCAGAGCCTGAAGCCTACAGCTCCTAGAAAAACCCCTACAAACCCTTAAACCCTTTTTTAAACCCTTCAACCCTGAACCCGAGCCTGAACCTTAGACCCTAAGGCCTGTATATAAAGACCCCTAGAAACCCTTAGACCCTCTATAGACCCCTGAATCCCTAAACCCTAGTAAAAAAACACCTGAACTCCAGCGAAGCCCTTGC